ACAGGTTCCAGTCCTCCCGCCAACCCGTCCCACCGTGCTCTTTGCCAAAGTTAGTTCCTTGATCATTCTCTCACGCTAGGCGGGGAGTCCTGCAGGCCCACCAGCTTCCTCCACTGCCCTTGCAATGAAGACTCCCCACTCTGTTTCTCCATGGGTGGGCTGTTCCTGGGGACTCCAAACCCTCAGGTGCAAAATGGAACCCATTTCCCGCAGCCCAATCCTGGAGCCCCGCCCACGTTGCACATCCCGGTGAATTCTCTGTCCCCCCCCACCCCCATCGCGGTCCATCCAGTCTGGCAGGTGCAAATCTGGACTCACTGAGCGGTCAGCAGATGTGGCCCCAGTTGCGCTCTGCGCTCCTGGTGCCCACGTGGGCTCAGGACTCAGTTTCCTCATTTGTAAATGAGGTTGATGATAGTGTGTGCCTCACAGTTTTGTTTGGAGAGTGAGCTGACGTTAGTGGTGGAGTGTGTAGCCTAGTGATGGAGCCTTAGGACTCGCACTACGAATGCGGAGAGTGTCGCTGCGGCCATTAATGAAGTCTCCTTGAAGGGCTGGGCCGTCTAGGGGCAGAGGCTGAGCCAGGAGTGCGGTGTGGTTAGGTCCACACGATGCCAATTAAGCGTGGAGGTGGAGGACTCTATGGCTGGGTCCAAGAAGCTCTGGGGACAAAGGATCTGTGCACTGTCTTCACCCTTAGAGGGGGGCGGGGTGGGGGTGGACCTGGGACCCCCCAACCCTGATCTGCCAGACCTTTGGTATTGGAGAAGCTTTTTTATGCCGTAACTCAAGATACATATGAATGTATATATATCAAAATTAACTCAAAGTTAATCCCAGGAAGAAAACGAGGACCACGCTTGCTCTGACTATGGAGGGATGAAGACATGCTCATTATTAAAGCGCTGTGACTGTTCATGGGAACAAAAGGACACACGCTTACACCCAGATTAACAGATTTCACGCAGCAGAACCAAGATAAAAATGTGCGTACATGAGGAGGGATGGGAAGGGATGAATAAATAAGTAGGACAAATTTAATAACTAAAGTGGGGAAGAGAATATTAGGCTCCCAATGGATATGTGGGCTAAAGACATAGTTCATTCTATGCAACAGGAAACATAAAATATTCCAGAAATGTCCACGATGCCCCCATCCTCATGTTCCCACGAAATATACACGTGTAACTGATATCTGTGACTTCCGGCAGGTGTCACAGAGCTGCATAGAGGGAGAGGTAAGAAGTCCTCTCTGGGGCCCAGGCAGGAGGGGAGCCAGGAAAAGCCAGGGAGCTCTCTGGGTGGTTCAGCCCAGGACACCGCCCCCTTGAGGCCAGACCTTGACAGGGCCTGGGAGCAGCTGGACAAGACAAGCCCGCTGTGTCGACGTGGGGGCGTTGGCGGAGAGCTCTGAAGACGCTCGGGGGTTTCCTGCCAGTGCCGGCCCCACTTCCATAAATCACAGAGCTTTTCCTCCCCTGCATGCAGCTGGAGGGGAAGCTGGGATGCCGTCTTTTCCAGAACCTGTGGTCTTTACAAACCTTTGTGGTGAGGGGCCCCGCGCCGGGCATGCTGTGGGGGTTCAGTGTCAGGCTTGAAGACTCTCGCCACTCAGGGGACTCTGGGCTCCACGAGGGCCACAAGCCACCACGGGCAGGGCCATTGCGGGGGGAGGGAACTTGAAAAAATGACCACCCTCAGATGTCTGAGTATCCAAACTTTCTGCCTTAACCTCATGATTACGTTTCCAGTGAGAGCCTGAGGAGGGCGTGTGGGAGGGGCAGGGTGGCTTCTAGAAGACTGCTGACCCTTCTTGCATTTATTTCACTCTGTCCTGCCTTGGTGTTAAGCTTTGCCACCTTGGTGCCATGGGCCACCCACATGCTCACTTTCGAGGAGGCTGGGCATTTCCATCTCTGCAGGAGGCTCTGAGGGTTCTGCTGCCTTTGAGAGCAAGTCCGGGGCAGGAAGGGGGTAGTCCTCAGGGGCTGTGTTCAGACCTCAGGAAAGGGCGTCATCTGTGTTCCAGGGGAGTCGGCAGGCTAGGTGCCCGGGAGGTGTGGGGCAGAGGGTGGCAAGAGGCTGGGCCATCTCCCTCCCCCTGCCTTTCTGTCCTCGTTTCTCCTGCCTTCGCCTCTCTCCTGGGACCTCCTTGTGGCTGGGGCCCTTCCTGTCCGCGGCGGCAGGGGTCTCGACCCTCTCTGGGGCCTCTAACCCTTGTTGCCACGCCGAGCCCTGAAAGCAGCGTTTTTGAGGAGGTACCGTTGTCTCTTGACCACTGCTGCCTGGAACAGAGCAGGTGATGGACAGATGTTTGTGGATTGGGTGACTGTGTGACCCCCATCACAGAAGTTAGGCCATTAGCCAATGTGGCTACAGGGGGGCCTGAGGCTGCCCCAGGTGAGACACCGACGCCCCTTCCTTCAGGCCCCAGTTGCTCTCTGTTCCTGCTGCTGCCCTCACCCAACCCTGGCGCCTCCCCACCCCGAGTGGGTCAGTTCTGTGTCCAGACCCTGAGCGGCCCCATCCCACCGAGCTGGCCCGGGTTTGGGTAGAAGTTAGAAGAAAGGCACTAGACTATGTCAGAGGTTTCCCTTTTATGGATTGGCTTCCTGTACGATGTTCCTGTGCAGGACTTACGTTCCCTGGGACGCCGAGCACCCCGCCCCTGCTCCTGTCTGGCCAGCCGGCCCCCCAGCCTCACCTCTTGCCATTCCCCCAATACCCTGGCCTTCAGCCACCCAGAGAGACCCCAAGAACCCCCAAACACCAAGCTCCTCTCTCCTTGGGTCTGCTCTTGGGCTGTTTTCTTCTCCCCTGGCCTTCCTGTCACCTGTCTCCAGCCCCTGTTCCCCGAGCGGCTCTCCTGGATGGGCTTGGGGGCATCCCTGCATGGCGGGGTGTGGTGGGGGCCCCCACACAGCTCTGGCCCAGCACGTGTCACCCCGCAATGCCCCTGGGGGAGACGCTGCCCTTTGAGACTCTCTGATCACATGTTACTTCCTTGATGAGGGTCTTCAGCAAAGCTCATCAAGAAAGGGAGGTAGGAGATGCCTTGTCTGCACAACAGCCCACATAGGACTCAAGCTTTTATGTTAGAAAGGGGAAAAGATAACACACAGGCATACGTGTTGGTACAGACATTCTGGGGTAGGCTGCCCCCAGGGCACCCCGAGGGGTGGGTGGGGACTGGGTTTGGAGGCAGCCCTGGGGCAGGGACACCTTACTGTGTGTTTGCATCGGCATTTGAATTGTGTTCCTGTATTCAGAAATTTAAATTAAAAGCAACTGCAATAAAACTAGACATAGTCTTTTTTTCTTTTTTTGAAGAGAGCCAGAACAGAAGGTGGACGAGCCTCCCTCTTAAAAGGAACTGAGTGGCGCATTGTGCTGTGGGCCCTTCAGTCCCAACCCCTTCCTGGGCTTCCCGGCCCGTGGCCCTGGGGACCGGTGTGCCCTCCTCCCCCGACTGCTGCTTTCATGCAGGCTCCTGGCTTGCCGCGGCCGCACACGGGCTGCCCCAGCCTGGCCGCCTCGCCCCAGCCCGGGCTGAGCCAGGGGCCTGGGGGCTGCTGTCTTGGGGAAGCCCTGCCCAGAACCCTTTCTGAGCCCATGCCAGCCTGGGGCTCTGGGGCCCAGGGCAGGGAGTGAGCTTGGCTCTCCCCTTCATGTAGCGTGGATGTGATCAGAGTCAGAGATGGTGAGAACCTAAAAGATGGTTGTGGTTCAGAAACCCTCTTCACCAGATGATGGGGATCCCACGCTCTGGGGAGCCAGCTGACTTCCCCAAAGTTGCACACAACCTGCTATTTATAGAGATGCCTCATATGCTGGGAGGGACCCCCGAGCCCTACCTCAGGGGGTGCCTGCCTCTGCAGATGCCTGAAAGTCACACACACGCCAGCCTGTAGGAGTAACCTGAGCCTCAAGAGTCTCACAGATTGGCTCGTCACTCCTGGGCACAGGTGCTGAATCTGCTGGGCCATGTTTCTGCCCAAACTTTCCTGAATGGCTGGAATCTGCCAGGGTTCCCTGCGGAGGGACACCCAGACTGGGCCCATGGGTGTCTCAGGCCCCAGCCCTGGAGATGGGAGGCCTGTGCAAATCTCTGCTCGCAGGGCCCTCGGAAGCTCTGCGGTCCAAGGCTGCCCCAAACGGCTGTGGAGACCTGGCATAGGAGCCAGGGGCAGGGAGCAGCGTGGGGCCGCGGGGGCGGGGACCCCTGCTGACCGCCCTTGAAGACCTGCATGCAGAGGGGCTGAGGCGCCCCCATCCCCCACACCCTAAATATGAATGTGCCCAGCACTGCCCTTCTCTCTGTGGGCAGCAGTTCTTCATTTTTTACTAAAAAAAAATTTTTTTTTTTAAATCCTCACCCGAGGACATGTTTATTGATTTAGAGAGAGAGGAAGGGGCAGAGAGAGAGCGAGAGAGAGAAACACCATTTGGTTGCCTTCCATATATGTCCCAACGAGGGACTGAACCCACAGCCTTTCGGTGTACAGCATGACGCTCCAGCCACCCGAGCCACCCCGCCAGGACTGGGAGAGAGCTCTTAATCCTAAGCCCCAGGAGCGCTGAAAGCCACAAGGGCCTTTTTTCCGATGCTGGAGGTCCCTGAGTTACACCGGCTGAGACTGTCTGGTGTATGAAGTGCTTCCTTTCTTTCCAGAGGTTTCTGGTGCCTCCCTGCGCATGCAGTGGTTTGTGTGTTTGTTTCTGGAAGCAGGGGGAGCGTGCTGACCCCCTGAGAAGGTGCAAAGTGTAAGACCGTCTTCCTGGAAACATGCTCCCTGTGCCTGGTTACAGCGCCAAGTGGCGGGGAGGGTTGCCCACAGCCACCCCGCTCCACTCCTGAGAGAAGGAGCCCCTAGCCAGACAGGGATGACTCTGCAGCCACTTGAAAAGCATCTGGTCCCACCCCTCATTTCGCTGATGAGGAAGCCAAGCCCTAGGAGGAAGTGATTCTCAGAACAAATTAAGCTGAAAGAGAAATGACATCTCACAGCTTGCTCAGCTGACAGGACCACCAACAGGTAACAGTCCCTGGGCCACTTGGAAAAACTGAGGCACAGAGCCGTGGATTGACCTTTCTGTCATGATGGCAGGTGACTCTCCCGGGGCCAGCCAGGGCTGAGGCCTGGGCTTTGTCCACACCTGCCCTGGCTCAGCGGGCAGTGCCAAGTGGTGGAGGGGCTCTGGCAGTCTCCGTGACAGTGGCAGCTGCAGGCGGAGGGCGGGTCTGCCCCTAGTTATCAGTGACATTTTTACGAACCCTCAGCTTCCTCCCGATTTGACTCAGGATTGCAGCTCTAGGCGGGGGGTTGGGGGAGTCTCGCCCGGTGGCTCAAGAGTCTTCTCCAGGGGAGCTCAGCCTTGCGTGCCACGCCTGCTCCCCGGAGTCTGCCTGGGAAATCACCAAGAGCTCGAGCTTATGCACGCTCAGGAGTCACCCTGCAGCCTGTGAGCAAGTCACTTCCCGGCCTCAGGGTGACCGATATTAGTTGAAGCAACTACATCATGGGGCTCCTGAGAGCAGTGAGAGCTGGGAGAGCTTGTCCCCCAGGATGCCTGGCTTTCTCTGTTGCAATGGGATTATTCTCAGGCCCTAACCAAGTGTCTCTTGGAGAGGCCGGGAGGGAGGATCCAGGGCGTGGGGAACCCTGAGGGGTCCGAGTCCTTTCTTGAGAGTGGAGGTAGGGAACGGGAGTCAGGGAATGCCCGCTGGCCTCGCGTGGGCGCAGCTCTGTGCCTCCCGGGGCCATGGAGCTGGGGGTTGGGGGAGCATAGTGCTGGCCAGAGCGCCCCCGCCTCTGACCGGTTGTCCCAGCTCCAAAGGGAACCCCTGCCCCTCTGGAGCTTCCTCAGACCGGACCAAAGCACTGTGGCTCAGTGAGCCCTTTCCGGGGGCTTGTTTTGTGGGGCACCGCGGGGATATGGTTCTCATCCTGGGGTTGCTAGGACAATCACTGGGGCAGGCTGGTGACTCGCATGGCCCCTAATTAGTCACAGGAAAGAAACCGTATCAGAGGACACAGGCAGACCAGGGGAGTGGACATTTGGACGGAGGACTGGGAAGGGGAGGGGAAGCGGGCGAGGTTCTTGGGAGGGAAGGGGATGCTGCAGGAGAGGAGGAAATGGGAGGCAGAGCCAGGTGCGGAGAAGCAGTGGGGAAGTGGGGGTGGGGGCTCCTGGACACCCCGGTGACGCTGGCGGTGGCGGGAGGGGGGCGGCTGGGGTGGCCCCGGAGTGAGAGAGACTAGGAATGTGAGTTCCGGCAGGCAAGGTCCTACTGCCTGTTTGACCTCAGGTAGAATTTTCAGCTTCTCCGGGCCTCACTGCCTTTATCTGTAAAATGGGCGCAACTGTAACAACGTCCCAGGAATGTACTGAGTTTTCCCTGTAAAGCGCTTAGCACAGGACCGGCTACATCTCAAGCCTCTGCTTCCTGAGCCCCCACTCCAAGCTCAGGGGTGCAGCTCCAGCAAAGTTCTGGACTCAGGGACGTTCTGCCTATGTGCTCTGTTCCCTCTGTGCCTCTTCCTTCTTGCATCGTGTCCCCCAGAAGCCCAGCTCCGCCAGGCGTAGACCGATGAATTTACTTACGGTGTTCGCGGCAGGTAACTGTATCCAGGTCAATCTTTACACTCTGACTGTGGCTTCCAACACCACGTTCCGGAGGAGACTGGGATTACAGGCAAGGGACCTGGATGGGAGGATACTGGTCGCGGGGACCTTAAGTGACATCCCCTGGGCCGCACCAGCTCCGCGGGGGGCAGGCCTGGCATGCCTCCCCCGTCTCAGGCATTCCATGCGGATGAGGGCTTTGGCCAGGCAAGACAGGGGGAGGCTTCTTAGTCTGCAGGCCCCCTAAGGTCGTATTCTTCCTCTGGCTGGTGTTTTCTGGAAAGCGCAGTCTGCCAATGCAAGGAAAGCTGGTGTGGTCTGAGCCACACGGCTGTGTTTAGGTGCTCCAGCTGTGCAGGCATGGGCTTGGGTCTGTCCCAGCCAGGATGCTGGGTCCTTGAAGGCACGGGGCGGGGGTGCACCATGGGACGCAGGCAGCTGCCAGACTCACAGCACAGAGAGGGCCGAGTGGGAAGTAAGAGAGCCAGCTCGGTGGGACCGCAGGCTCTGGGCCCACGGGGCTGGGTTGCGCTGTTCGGATGAAAGAGCCCAGACAGAGGCCGACGGCCAGAGAGCCAGGAGCAGAGCCGAGGCCTCGGGACGCCCAGCGGTCCTTTTGCATGAGTGGATGTTTTCGGTCCTCTTCACCCTGGCCTGCTCTCCAGGACGCTGGGACCCCATTCCCTTTAAGGCTCATGGAGTCAGAGAGTGGAGCGTGCCTTGAGCACTGGAGAATGCTAATATGTCTATTCCCCCGAGAAGATGAGCAACGCTAGTCCTCTCTACGGATTCTCCTGTGCGGGGGGCTTTCTAGCCCCTCCACATGCAGTCCCCGCTGACAGACAGCGTCCCCCGCCCCACGGCCCGGGCCGTCAGAGCTGGAAAAGGGCCATGTCCCCCCCCACCCCACCCCACCCCGGCCTCTTCTGGTTCTCTAAGTGTCGCCGGGATTCCCCTCCTTTCTCACCATCCGCCCTGTTTACAAGAACACCCAGGAATCCCCATGTTCCCTTAAGCTGTGATTACCTCAGCATTTTGTGTATAAACACCTGTTTCTTTCCAACGTGTCCACAAGGCACTTCTGGTTTTCTCTGACTCACACATTTAAGAGACTATTTAAGAGGAAGCAGAAAAACGCCTTTTATGTATTATTGGCTACTTTCTTCGTGGCGTGAGATGAGAGAGATAGAATTGCCAGGGCCCTCGAGTGCTCAGCTGGGCCCAGGGATGGGACAGATTTTGCGGAAGACCCTTGTCCTTTCCTAAAGGGAGTGCATCCCCTTGATTTACGACTTAGTCCTGATCTGCCAGTCGGAGCTTATCAGTGATTGGGCTGCTCAGAGCTCTAAATTTCTCTGTCTGCTTGATGGATGAAATTCCCAGAGGCCTTTACCTGCAACTGTATCTCCATTTCAACTTCTTTTTGCATTTCTGGAATGTCCCTATTAGGTACTTCTTTGCTATGTTCATTGGAACATAAATTGAGTGTTTGATGTTTTAATTACTTATTATAACTTACCTTTGGGGAGCGTCTGTGTTACTCTCTTAATTCCTTTTCCTAAAAAAAAAAAAAAGAAAGGAAGAAAGAAAATTACATTGTCATCATCCCTTCTTTTCTAGAGACTGTGTGCCTGAAAAATCATAGGTTATCCTAATCTTTTCTTCTGTCTGTCTTGGTTTTCTCTGTGTTTCTTATACACAAAAGATGATGAGGTTTTGATTTTTTAAAGTGGATGCCCCTTTTTATAACAATTATAATTGTTAGGGAGCGTTATAATTATATAACTGTTATATTTGTATAAACTTCAACGGGGTTGCCCCTTTGTTTTCTCTAGTGAGACAGCGCATTTATTCACTTTCAGTTTCTACTATGAATTTACTCTTCCTCCTGTCCCTTTAAAATACACAAGGTAATATAATGAAAATGTCCAATTTAGAAAATACTGAACTTCTACATTGTTTCTATGAATAGCTCTCCAAACTTCGAGAAAAGTATACTTAAATATCTTCCCTTCGCCTTCGCCCAGCTTTCCCCGTGAACCTGGTGCTTTGCATCTCTTATATACTGTTCTCAACTCTTAACGTTGTGCATAGTTTTTATGTTGCACTAGCTGGCCTGTGGACAGATCACGGAGCAGTGCTTGATGCCTCTCTCATCTCTCAGGTGGCACCTGCTTTCGATGACCTGTCCCTTGCAATTCTCTCTGTCACTCATGCTCTGTCCCCAGACACTACACCTTGAAATGTACATCTTTGACCTGCTGAGATTTAGCCTCATCAGCTGAACACAAGTTAGTTTAAATTTTCTTTAAATTTCGGGCAAACCTCCCTCCTGCCCCTGCCTCAAACACACACCAAGACTTCTTTTACAGGACAGTCAAAAGCTGTTATTTTCCTTCCTTTTCTCCAACATTTAATACGCTTTTAAAAATATAAATTGTCCTCATATTTTAATTAATTAATTAAAATGCACACACACACACACACACACACAGGCGAGAGATAAAAATAAAAGATTTAAAAATCACCCAACATTATACTGTTAAAATGCAACCTATGTTTGACACATGGAAATTTTTTTCTAGGTTTTTCTTTCCCGTAAGCATGGGTTTTATTAATCATAGTTGCAATCATTTTCTGAATGTACAATTCTGTAATTTTGTGGAATTTTTACCTAACATAGTCAGCATAAACATAACATAGAAAAATTTTCCATTGAGTTGATTTACCAAAGTGAAAATAAGCTTTGTTGGCATTTAAATGTGTATGTGTATTTTTTGCTATCAGGAAAAAAAACTGTTAAAGTGAATATACTTCTGTAAACAACTTTTCCTACTTTAGCATAATTTATGTAAAGTAAGTTTTCAGAATCACTACGTGAAAGAGTAATGTGATTTCTGTAGCTTGAAATGTGAATTTTCAGGTCCCCCAAATGTATTCATACGTACGCTCGCCAGCACATCACTGACTGTCTCCTGAAATCCTCACAGCCCTTTATCTTTTATCTATTGTGGATCTTGATATTATTCATTTTTATACTCTTCCTCGGGAAAGAACATCCTTTATCTAAGATTTACAGCATTGTCTTTCTTCCAGTATATTACTTGATGTTAAATTGTTTTCACAAACATATTTCTAATTTTGTGCAGTTAAACTTGTGTCTGTTTTTTTATTCTTGTGCTTTTTAATCATTCTAAGTTGACGAAGAGATTTTCTCTTCACTCATTTTTGTAAGTTGTCCATTAAATTTTCACTTAGTTTTTCTATGGCTTGATTTTTGGAAACTTAATTCATTAATGAACTTGGAATTTCTTGTGCTCTACAGTGTGAAATGAGGGTCTAAGTTGGTTTTTCCTGACAGTTTAAACACCATTTATTGACTAAGCCTTCCATTTCTATTATTTTATTC